AACTCCAATAAGCTAAATCCAACTGGATGCCACGTGGCAATGGTCTTACTGCTATAATCCACACAGGTTGGTCACCAGGGGTGCAGGTCAAGGCAGAGAGTAGATCTAAAGGCACAAAATGCACTTTTGTAGAGGACCCAAAGATGCGTGTAAAGCAACCTGAAAATAATATACAAGAGGCTGACTGCAACAAAGGGTATCTGTATGGAGGTGATGGAAGGAAAAGCAAAAATGGTGGAATTCAGTAGAAGACAATTAAGATCATACTAAGAAGCTTCCAATTAATTTGATGGGTGACTGGTACGGTGAAGGAGCACGTGCAGGTGAGTAGGTAATCCCAGGTTCATGGCAGCTGCACACAGACTCGGACTGAAAGCAGAGTCCTGATGGCCGGGAGCAGCTGGATTTTTCCAGCAGGCCAGGTGTCGAGCAGGTGGTAAGTGGGAAACACTAACATGAACTGAGTCCCTCTTATGTTCTGGGTAACTCAAAAGTATTATCCATTTAATCTTCCCTACTTTAATCTCAGAAAACTGGGCCTCAGAAAAACAGCATGCTGAAAGATAATCAAGAATTGATTAGCTTCTACAAACACAACATTACCTCACTGACAGTGACTGTCCAAAAGAAGTATGGGCAGTAAAAACAGAGAGCAGTGAACAAAACTGCACTGATGGTCGCAGCTCTCCACTAACAAAGAGGTCCCAAACAAGCCTTTTAACTCCTTCAAATCTTTGACTTCCTAATATGCAAACTAAGCACAGGTATCACCATTATCCCCCATGTCTCTAAATCCCGCTGGTCACATTACGAACACTAATTCATCAATGTTCCCATGCCTGTATCGAGCCCATCCGTGATGATCTCCATCAACCGTATCTTCATCTCAGCTCTCGCTGTCCATTCAAGTCCAAACCCAACAGTGAGAAGGCATCCCTAATCAACCAAGCTGAGGGAAGGCAGTGCTGTGCGACAGGACTTCTGTCATTTCTTGTAGAAACTGTACCTATACAAGTCATTCGACAAACTCTTTTATTTATTTTTTTATTTTTTGACAGGCAGAGTGGACAGTGAGAGAGAGAGACAGAGAGAAAGGTCTTCCTTTGCCGTTGGTTCACCCTCCAATGGCCACCGCCCCCGGCGCGCTGCGGCCAGCACACCACGCTGATCCAATGGCAGGAGCCAGGTACTTCTGCTGGTCTCCCATGGAGTGCAGGGCCCAAGCACCTGGGCCATCCTCCACTGCACTCCCTGGCCACAGCAGAGAGCTGGCCTGGAAGAGGGGCAACTGGGACAGAATCCGGTGCCCCGACCTGGACTAGAACCCGGTGTGCCGGCGCCGCAAGGCAGAGGATTAGCCTAGTGAGCCGCCGCGCTGGCCTTCGACAAACTCTTAAGCACACTGCTAATTGCTAATTACCATTAATTTTATTGAAAGATTTTATTTTTTAGAGCTGATAGGCAACAAAATTGAACAGAAGTACAGAATTTCCATGTATTACTGCCTCTCCTACTATTAATATCCTTTCTGCAAATGTCATACCTGTTATACTCAATGAGTCTACTACTACTCAATGAGTCTACACCCACAGCTCACAGCTTACAGGAGAGCACACTCTTGGTGTTGTCCATTGTACGGCTTCATCAAATGTATACTGCCAGTACGTTATCACACAGAACCATAATGGCCAGATTTCATCTCTATAGCAAGTATCTGAGGGACTCTATTTATAAAAGATGGGGGTTAGGGGCCGGCGCCGTGGTGTACTAAGTTAATCCCCCGCCTGTGGCGCCGGTATCCCATATGGGCGCTGGTTCTAGTTCCAGCTAATCCTCTTCCAGTCCAGCTCTCTGCTGTGGCCGGGGAAGGCAGTGGAGGATGGCCCAAGTTCTTGGGCCCCTGCACCCGCATGGAAGACCAGGAGGAAGCACCTGGCTCCTGGCTTCAGATCGGCATAGCTCCGGCCATTTGGGGAGTGAACCAAAGGAAGGAAGACCTTTCTCTCTGTCTCTCTCTCTCACTGTCTGTAACTCTACCTGTCAAATAAATAAGTAAATAAAAATTAAATAAAAAAAATGGGGGTTATTGTTGCTCATGATTTTGGAGGTTCCCAGTCCGGATCTGGAGGCTCTGTGGGTCTCTGCCCACATGCTCTTCCCTGAGGCTGGCTTTGTATGCCGACACCTGCAGTTTTCCAAGGCTTGCATGGGCACACTGCTTGCAGCTTTCTCTGATGGCAAGTTCATGCTGCCAGTACCTCTACTTTCCTGGGTCTCCTCTGCACTGCCATAGTATTTCTGGGCTTGGTATATTCATCGCTTCCTATCCTTTAACCACTTACAACCACGGATCCTTTTAGGATCTCCAGAGTCCACCTGCTACGGCTCATGTGATGCTTGTTCTGCGAATGTTCTGCCATCCCCGCCAGCTTCTGATGCCCCACCAACAGGGTCCACTGACCTTGGACTAGGAACCTGAAAACTACAAGGAGAAATAAACTTCCTTTTTCCTAAGCAGCTTCCCTTGGATATTTGTTACAGTAATGAAACACAGACTAATGCCTCACCCTTTGCAGAATGGCACACAGAATGTAGATTTTCACATTAGCCTCTTTTTGTAATATGCATTTAGAAGCCCTCTATGTTTTTTTCAGAGGGTTGATGGATCCTTTCTATTCAGTGCTGAATAAATTCAATTTTCTACTTTGTCCCAGTTTACTGATTCATCCACTTACAGAAGGACACTTTTGTTGCGCTGAAGTTCTGCCAGTTATGAATGAAGCTACTACAGACATCACGTACCAGTGCTTATGAGTTTTCATCTCACTGATCCATGGTGAGGAGCACAACGGTTGGATTACACACTAAGACTATGCCTGGTTTGGTACCAAACTGCCAAGAGCTGTCTTCCAAAGTAGCAGCAACAAGTTGCGCTATCACCAGCATGAATGAGAGTTCTTGTTTTTCCAGGAAATTCTTGCCAGAATGTGGTGTTGTCAGTGTGCCAGGTTCCAGCTATTGTACTGGGTGTGTAGTGGCACATCTCTGCTGATTAACTTATAATTCACTGGTGACATCTGATGGTGAGCCACTCTGTACATGCCCATGAGTCATCTGTGTATCTTCTTAGGTTAAGTGTCTGGTAGGTTTCTTAGCCCATTCTTTTTTAACCAGACTGCTGATTTTCTTACTGTTGAGTTTTAAGACTTCTTTGTGCATTTTGTAAAATATTCCTTTATCATATTATCTTCTGCACGTATTTTCTCCCACACTGTGGCTTGCTTTTCTAATTCTCTTGATAGTGTCTTTTGTAGGTGAAAAGCTTTCAATTTTAATGACATACAACTTATCAATTAGTTCTTTCATGGATTTTACCTTTTATGTTGCATCTAAAATGTCACTGTCATACTGAAGGGCACCTAGATTTTCTCCTATGCTATCTTCACCACCACTATTTTTTTTTTTAATTACTGTGTGGCCAGTACTTGTCTAATGCCCAAGACACAAGATGAATAAAGCAACAATACCCTCAAATATCTCAAAATACTGCTGAAGTAACACAATCAGAAAATCTTTAAGACAGCGGCTCTCAACTGAGATAAAGCAAAGAAACACCTGGACAGTGTGAATCACGAAACAAAGTACGAGGCCAGATTCCTTAGATTCAAATCCAAGTTCTTTCCCACACTAGCTGACTGTCCTGTGTCTCATCTGCAAGATAACCTTCACTTCACAGCACTAACATGAAGATTAAATTGCTCAAGCCATGTGAAGCGTTAGCACAGTACTAAATGCTCACACTTGTAGATTCTCCACAATGAGGCTGTAGTTTGCAAACATTTATTATCAAAAAATTTTTATACTGACTTTTTATTTTGGACTTTCACAAAAAAGATTAAAGTAAAGTCTCATCATTCCATATTCAGCGATCATGAGATCTAATACATCAAAGATTTTCAAAATTAATAAATCAAAGTCAGCTGGAGACAGTAGATACAAGTCAATAGGAAAAGTACAAAGGCTGACACTATGGCACAGAAGGGTAAGCCTCTGTCTGCAGTGCCGGCACTACAAATGGGTGCTGGTTCATGTCCTGGCTCCCTGCTTATGTGCCTGGGATAGCAGTGGAGGATGGCCCAAATGCATGAGCCCCTGCACTCACATGGGAGACCCAGATGAAGCTCCTGGCTCCTGGCTTTGGCCTGGCCCAACCCCAGGCCATTGCTGCCATTTTAGAGAGTAAACCAGCATATAGAAGATATTTCTCTCTCTCTCATTATGTCTTATAGATAAGTAAAATAAATGTTAAAAAAAAAAAAAACAGGAAAAGTACAGAGTTAACAATTATAAAGTTTTCATTTATAACAAAATAGTTAAATTTTAAGTGAGAGCATCAATTCATTTACTATTTCAGTGCTAGAATAATGATTTTTCCTTTGGTGTAAAAAAACACATGGAAAAAAGTCTACAAATACATAAAATTAAACCACAGAATTGAGAATTATTTACTTCTCAGTGTCTTCCATGAGAATTTGTTACAGTGAGCACTGTTTAACAAAATTAAGTGCAATCCCATTTACTGGCATAACTACAAAAACTACAATCTGAAGAATCAAAATACTATTTTTAAAAGTAACTTTCAAAAGAAGAAAACCGCAGCTAATTATGTGTTAAGTATGCAAGTGACAATATTTCCTTACTTTAAAATTGATTAAATTCTTTCTTCTGATCTGAGATTCAAACTGAAACCATTTGATATAAAACTTTTAAAGAGTAAATGAATCACATGATTCATTGATTCATTCATAAGCCAAACAAATCTATAATTTCTTCCTCCTACACTAGATTGGGCAATGCAAGAGGCCAAGAATGAACTTTTATAACTTTATCTGTAAGGTAAAACTCTTTGTAAAGATGCTTGGTCACTGTTAACTGAGTGGTATTTTTATGATGTAGCTCAGAAAACATATACATCTGCTTATCTCATTTTCAACAGTTACCTTTGATGGTTTCCTCCACAACTTCCACCACGCGATCTATCTGTTGAACCTAGAAAAGAAAACAACTGTGAGATAAGCAGTTACACAGAGGAGAGCTGGTGTGTTTACCTTTCTGTACGAGTCAGTGTGACACGTTCTACGCACATCACTGCAGGTTTGCTCTAACTCATGCACTTGGAGACATTATTTAAAAACTTTATATCAAGGCTCTGTGTTACAATGAACTATGGAATTATCAACCTCCTGTCTTCCAATGATAAATGAAGAAAACACATTGCATTTAAGTAAAGTGCCTGGAGCTGGGTTAGCATGGCCTATCAATGCAACATATAAAGTATAAACTTAACGTTAATTAATACATGTTTTTTCACACAGATCTTAAAGAAACATGAGAACCACAAAGGGGCATGCTGATATTAATGAGATCCATCCCAAATTCTATGCCTTATTATTCCAACATTCAAAACCCTATCAGTGAATTTCTACCATGTGCTGAGTACTAGATTTAGGCCCAGAGAATGCAAAGGCAAATGACATAGTGACCAAGCAAGATTTCCAAGGGTACCCTGGGAACACAGAGCAGAGATCATAAAAGCAGACCAGATGATATAGGATTGCTTTCTAGGAAACCCGGAGAGACACAGAGTGATGACAGAAGTCGCTCGGTGAGAGTCAGTAGGCACAGCTACCGTAGAAAAGGAAAAATGAATAAAGCCAATATTATGATCAAAGAAGCTAAGGGAATAAAATCAAGTAACAATAGGTCAAAGTTGATTCTCTTAGTATCCTCAAATATCATTATTCTACTAAGAAGAAATACACATTCATTGGGAAAAAAATAAAGTACAAACAGAGAAAGAAATGAAGTTACCCAGAACACCTACCACACTTCATTTCTAGTCCATAAAAAAACTCACTCATTTTGAAAAGCAGATACCAAGACGTTTTCTGTGTTAAATATTAAATACATAGGTCTACCTTCTCCTTCTAGATAAATAATTTTTCAGAAATACAGTGGCAAGTATCTTAAAAATATTCCTATGGCCTCAAGGTCTTACAGGAGAAAAGCAAAGACAAGAACACAATGGAATTCCACTCTGCCTCTGACCATTCTGCCCAGCTTGATGGTAGTAGCAGCAGCAATTATTAAGAAACTGCCGAAGGCGAATTAAGAGAGAAGAGAGTAGCTAGCCTTGTAGAAATGGTAGAGATAATAAGTTACATACAAACTACAACAGCATGCTTGATTTAACAATAAAGAGGTCAATAAACATAGGTGAAGTAGCAAATTGTATAGGAATGAATCATAAATAAGAAAATCTAGACACCTAAAATAGACCACTCTTACAAAAAGCTGGGTAAAAGAGAAAAGGGACACCTGGTGGGTACACAAGTATTTTGATTTAGGCTAGTGGATTTAACATTTAAAAATATTTTATTAATATAAAAAGAACATTTCTTCCCCTCCCTTTCATCTCTCACTCCCTCCCTCAACCCTCCTCCTTTCTTCCTTTTCTATAATTTTTCCAAAAACATGTTTTTAATAGTTTGCGTGCTGAGAGGAGAAAGACAGTAGAGAAATAAGAGTTGATGATCCAAAGAATAAATGATACAGCAAGGTTCTTGAAAGGGTGGGCAGAGCAACATCCAAAACACAGGTAGAAAAAGAAGCCCAGAATGGAAGGACAAAGTGTTCAGGACAAGAAATGTTAGGAGAGCATTGGCCCAGATGCTATTAGTCTTGCAAACATCAAGGAGAGGGGCTGGTGCTGTGGCAGAGAAAGTAAAACCACTGCCTGCAGTGCCAGCATCCCATATGGGCGCTGATTCGAGACCTGGCTGCTCTACTTCCAATTCAGCTCTCTGCTATGGCCTGGGAAAGCAGTAGAAGATGGCCCAAGTCCTTGGGCCCCTGCACCCATGTAGGAGACCCAAGAGAGACTCCTGGCTCCTGACTTCGGATCAGTGCAGCTCCAGCCACTGCAGCCATCTGGGGAGTGAACCAGGGGATGGAAGACTTCTCTCTCTCTCTCTGTCCCTCTCTCCCTCCCTCTTTCTCTCTGTCACTCTGCCTTACAAATAAATAAATAAATCTTTAAAAAATAAAAAAGTCTAAAAGAATGCTAAGCAAATTCCTAGTGCTGGCTTCAATTTATTTCATTGAAGTAAGAAGTCCATCTGCTAAGAGGGAGGGAGCATATTGTGAAATAAGAACAGAGTCAATGTTTAAAACTACCTGTTTCAGAAAATGAGACAGCATGATGGCTAGGAACATGTAAAACTGTCAGACGGCATTGAGACACCATTTGATTTCATCCATGTGTAGGTGTAATTTCTCTCAAGGACCAGCAGTTCTGGTGCGGAAGCCAAACAGACTGATCCAAGGTTGGTTAATTTCCGCCTTCATGCATTCATCATTCATTGAGTGTCCAATGCTACCAGGATGATTCACATAGTACTGAGAGATTCACGGCACAAACCAGAAAGGATAGGAACAAAAGCCAGTGGGCTTCTCATTGTGGAAACAATGAAACTCGAAAAACAGGGAAATAAGTAGCTTCAGAAAGCAGAAATAAAGGGTCTAGGAGTGGGAGGAGGAAGGAAAGAAAGGAGGGAGGGAGGGAAGAATTGAGGGGTGGGAAAAAGAGGTCAAGAGTTTATAATCAGAGTACAGATACAGGCATTTAGTCCATTTGGAAAACAGCAAGGTCTTAGAACATGTTGCTGAAATGGGATGAAAGTAATGACCACTGGAGTTAAGAAAAACCAGGATATTATTTGAGGATAGAATACAAAGGATGAAGGCAGTAAAATGTGAGGCAATTCAACGATGGAGCCAGAAAGCCAATTGCTTTCCTATGTAGCCAGAAATATAATAGCTTAAAGGGAGCACGGCACCCGATCTTGTAGCACATGAACCGATTAAGAGGCTGTATTCCAGGCCGGCCCCGTGACTCACTAGGCTAATCCTCCGCCTGTGGAGCCGGCACACCAGGTTCTAGTCCAGGTCGAGGCGCCGGATTCTGTCCTGGTCACTCCTCTTCCAGTCCAGCTCTCTGCTGTGGCCCGGGAGTGCAGTAGAAGATAGCCCAAGTCCTTGGGTCCTGCACCTGCATGGGAGACCAGGAGAAGCACTTGGCTCCTGGCTTCAGATCAGTGCAGTACGCCGGCTGCAGCACGCCAGCCGCGGAGGCCATTGGGGGGTGAACCAACGGAAAAAAGGAAGACCTTTCTCTCTGTCTCTGTCTACTCTGCCTGTCAAAAAAAAAAAAAAAGGCTGTATTCCTAGAGCAGAGTCAGAACACCATGTGGAGAAAGCAGTCCACTCCATTGCTGGTATGAAGTAAGCATCATGCACCAGTAGTACAGGCTGCCTTCACTTTGGATGCCCACATCACTACAATATCAGATAGCCAATTTGAGTTCCAGCATCTCTGCTTCTAAACCAGCTTCCTGCTAATACATCCTGGGAGGCAGGAGATGATGGCCTGAACGTTTGGGCCCCTTACAGCTATGTGGGAGAGCCAGTTGGAGTTCCAGGCCCCTGGCTTCACCCTGGTCCAACCCTGGCTGTTGCAGGCACAGTGAACCAAGAAAAAATTGATTGATTGATTCATTATTCTCTCTCTCTTAAATGAAAATAATTTTTTTTTTTTTTTAGTTTGGGAGTAGGCTACAACTATGAAACTTATGAGACAAAATAGCCACCTGGGATTAGACAATGATTTCTTAAATATAACACCAAAGTATGAGCCATAAAAGTTAAAACAGATAAACTGAACATCAAAGTTCAAAACTACAGTCCTTCAGCAGATGCCATCAAGAAAGTGAAAAGACGGCCGGCGCCGCGGCTCACTAGGCTAATCCTCCGCCTTGCGGCGCCGGCACACAGGGTCCTAGTCCCAGTCGGGGCGCCGGATTCTGTCCCAGTTGCCCCTCTTCCAGGCCAGCTCTCTGCTGTGGCCAGGGAGTACAGTGGAGGATGGCCCAAGTGCTTGGGCCCTGCACCCCATGGGAGACCAGGAGAAGCACCTGGCTCCTGCCATCGGATCAGCGCGGTGCGCCAGCCGCAGCGCGCCAGCTGCGGCGGCCATTGGAGGGTAAACCAACGGCAAAGGAAGACCTTTCTCTCTGTCTCTTACTGTCCACTCTGCCTGTCAAAAATAAAATAAAAAAAAAAAAAAAGAAAGTGAAAAGACGACACAAAAAAGGGGAGAAAATTTTTATAAATCATGTATCTGACAAGGACTTGTATTTATAATATATGAAGAATTTCCATGACTCAAGAATTAAAAAGGAAATAAACCAATTAAAGGTAGTCAACTCATCTGAAAGAGATTTCCCCACGAAAGTTTTATGTGGACACTTCAAAAAGTTCATAGAAAATTACAATTCAAACCCTTCCATGCAAAATAATTCTTAAACCCATGCAACGCTTTTTCTTAATACTCAATCTTCATGAAGTTTTTGAAAAGCTCTCATATGTATGGACCTCAATCAATTTTGTACCAAAATAAACATTTAAAAATTCCATTTCAAAAATACTTTATCTAACACAGAAAGAGAAAGAGATCTGCTCTCTGCTACGTTAACCCACAAAGCAGGGGCTGGCGCCAGTCAGCCATTCCCAGTCCCATTCTCCATCAAGGGAAAAACAAAAAAACAAACAAACAACAGCAACAAAAAAAACCTGTTCCTCAACAGTCAAGACAAGGGCTGTTCAAGTCATTGCTTCTCAAAGTGTCAATTTCATTTCTACAGATTGTCTTTTAGGTGCTCTATTAGGGAGAACATATGGTATTTGTCCCTTTGGGACTGGCTTATCACCAGTTCCCTTTAATTCTATTTCCATGAACATTTTACAGTACCCTGATACAAATGACCAATAAGCACATAATAGTGTGCTCAAATCACTAGCCCACCAGAAAATGCAAATCGAACCACAATGGAGGAGTGGGAATTATTATTTAATGGGAATAGAGTTTCATTTGGGGAAAATGAAAATAGTTTGGAGACGGATGGTGGTGATGGTTGTACAAAAATGTAAAT